ATTCCACCCAAGCGCTCTTTGTATGGCCCTCTATGTGGCCAAATCAATGGATAATTTCACAGATTACTTACTTGACCTCTCAGTACTTGATTTTCGAGACCACCTTCTTGAAACTTCCTCTTCTCACAGCCTCTATGATATTAGAATATTGTGGGTAACCTTCTCTATCCCTGGCCACCTCTTCTAAGACTTCTATCTTCCTAATAAATATTGGTGTCTTGGGTACTTTTCTAAGAATATTTTCTCCCTACGCAATCACATCCAATTACCATTGTTAAGCTAGTGACTTCCTAATTAATATCCACTGTAAGCCCCTCGTAACTACACACTTAACGAGCTATTGGTTATGTCTACTTGTATATAACATGGCAACTGAAACTCAAGGTACCTAGTCCAATTCTGGGTATTCTGGGTGCCTCCCACCGACCTGAAGAACTTATAATATTCCTTCTATCAGTGATTTGGCCAGTGACTTATAATTTTGCTATTTACTGACGAGTCCAAAGGGCAAAGGCCTCTCTTTTTGTTCTTCTTGCCTCTTCACAAAGTTTTGTGACTGCTTCTTCTCTTCCAAACTTAGGAAGAAATCCAAATCTCCTTTTCAAATACCAAATTAAAAACAAAGAACTGATTTCAGCTATGTTGTTTCTGTAGCCTCACTCAAAGTTGCCCTGTGTTCATTTGTGTCTTTGCTACAGATTTGTCAGATTTTGATGTTCCCAGGAAACATGTTCAGTCCAACTGAAATCAACTCTGGACAAATTAAATCTGATGGCCTGATGGCTTCCTTTTCTCAAATATTCTTTCTCCAAAACTTAAAGTAATGATACTTACCTTCCTCGTTTTTTGATGAGGAATCAGGGGCAGAGGAAGAACACACTTCAGTGATTAAATGGAGTTGGAATAAAGCCTCTAAGAAATACAATTCATTGAACATATGAGTTTAAGACACAATAGAAAATAATTTCTATTCATGGTTGTCACGTCCTGCGTGGCAAGGGCAAATGGGACACGCAAGGGGCAACGCAGATTGAAAAGAGCACAAGAGACAAAAGTCAGATAAGAACGAGACCAAGGGGCATCAGCCTAGAGGACTGGGCTGAGCCCTGAATCAGGTCTTCGCATGGCTTTTATTGAGAAAATTTCAAAGGAAGTGAAACTAATTTACTCAAAGATCTGTTTGCTACGTGCCTTAAGGCTGTTTTCCATTAACCAGGTTCCATTGTGCTCCAACATGTACTGTGCCTTCACACATCCTACACAACCCCCTGGACAGCGCCATTCTGTCATGTACTATACAAATAAAGGGAGGTGACTGATATCATTCCATCCGGCCTCAGCTTTCTGAGACACTTCCTCAGGAAGCTTTACCGATATCATTCCATCGGGTCTCAGCATTCCGAGACACTTCCTCAGGACCTCATTAGGTCAGGGGTTAGTGTGTGTGGGGGGCGGTCCTGGAGGTAGCTGTAAGGCAACACATGGTAATTCAGTTTTTAGGTGGACAAAGATAAATTATTTTTATTTATGGACTAAGTATTATTTTTAGGGTACTTTGTTTGATTAAAAATAACTCTTAAAAAGAATACATCTCCATCTTTACCCTCCAGCAGCTCACCATTTGAAAGATACATAAGTGAGTCTAGGAAGAATAAAGTTTGTGCTGTAATTATGGGAATATAGAAAGTAGAAGTATGAACTCTGATTCTGAACATCTGAAAAGTGTGTGTGGAGGAGATATCTGATACAGTCCTTGATGTATAGGTTTGAATTTGAAAGAGCATATGATGTTTTGTTGTGTGAGTTCTTTATATATTTTGGATATTAGCCCCTTATCAGAGGTGCTGCTTGCAAATATCTTCTCCCATTCCATTGTTTGTCTCTTCATTTTGTTAGTTTCTTTTGTTGTGCAGAAGCTTTTTAGTTTGATATAGTCCCATTCAGTTATTTTTTTCTTTTACTTCCCTTGCCTTTGAGGCCAAACTCATAAAATCCTCTCTGAACTCAAGGTCCTTAAGTTTAGCACCTATGTTTTTTTCTATGCAGTTTATTGTTTCGGGTCTTATGTTTAGGTCTTTGAACCATTTGAGTTGATTTTGTATATGGTGACAGATAGCAGTTTAGTTTCATTCTTTAGCATGTGGCTTTCCATTTTCCCAGCACCATTTGTTTTTAAATTTATTTATCTTTAAGATTTTCATATTAAAAATATAGCTAACATATGCTCATACAATATTAAATTATGTTCAAGGGTACATCATAATTATTCAACATTTATATACCTAAAGAAGTGATCACCATGAGAAGTCCAGCAATCACCTGACACCATAGTATGCTGTCCCAATATTATTGATTATATTCCCTATGTTGTATATTGCATTCCCATGAGTTAGATGCCTGGAAATTTGGACCTCTTATTCCCCTTCACCTTTTCCCCCTTTTTTAATTTTTCAATTACAGTTCACATTCAATATTATTTTATATTAACTTCAGGTATACAGTGTAGTGGTTAGACATCTGTACAATTTAAGAAGTGATCCCCCTGACTTGTCTAGTACCCGCCTGGCACCATACATATTTATTACCATATCATTGACTATATTCCCTATGCTTTACTTTACATCCCCATGACTATTTTGTAATTACCAATTGTACTTCTTATAACCTTCACCTATTTCATCCTGCTCTCCAGGCCCAAAGTCAGTCTCTTGTAGGCAGCATATGTAAGGGTTTTGTTCTCTTATCAATTCAGCCCTCCTATTCCCTTCGATTGGAGCATTTAATCCATTTATATTGAAAGCAATTGTTGATAGATATGTAGCTATTGCCATTTTATTATTCATGATTTTTTTTTTTCCATCTTGAAGAAGTCCCTCTAACATCCTTGTAATACTGGTTTGGTGGTGATGAACTCCTTTAGTATTTTCTTGCCTAGAAAGCTCTTCATCTGCCCTTCAAATTTAAATAATAGCCTTGCTGGGTAGAGTACCCTTGGTTGTAGGTCTGTGCTTTTCATCACATTGAATATTTTGTTCCAATCCCTTCTGACCCATCACCATTTATTGAAGAGGCTTTTTTTTCTCCATTGTATGTTTTTGGCTCCTTTGTAAAAAAAAATAAAAAATCATATATATATATATATATATATATATATATATATATATATATATATAAGGACTAGCAGAAAGCTTGAACACACACACACAGCAATACGAGTGCTANCACACACACACACACACACACACATACGAGTGCTAATATAAACAGGAACTTTGTGTTTAGAATGATTTCCATGTTATGTTTGTCACTGAATTGCCTTGCGATAAACCTGGTAGCAAAAAATGTTCAGAATAAAAATGCTAATTTTTAAATGGGAGAAAAAGAGAAAGAAGATAAAATAAAAAATAAATAAAGTAAAAGAGTGTCTATATGTAGCACTGTTTTTTAAATATTTAAATTGCAGATTAACCAGCATTATTCTAATTTGACCAAAAGATTGAGCCAATACTTATTTTTTTACTTAAACAGTGCTCAAATTATGGGTAGATAGTTTCTGTAAGTGCAGTGGAAATTATTACATGGCATATTCAAGCAATTAGACTGCTGAATTTTACTTTCTGTGAGTGGGGCTTGAGGGGTGGGGAAGAGGGACACAGAAACTGCTGCCCTTTTCAAATAATTCACAAATGTGCTAATTATGTGTCAGATATGAAAGTTGAAGTGTTGTGACCTTCAAGCCAACAAAAGACCTTTTCAAGGAAGCCATTTCCATGTACATTAATAAAGTGAACAATACCCTTCCACAGTTAAATAATGTATGGCTGTTATTTCATCATATGTAAATGCAAACCAAGGAGTTGTTTCACTGTTGACAATTAAAAGTAATTCTATAAAAACAATAACAAAAAGACTATAAATCTATAACATTTTGTGATATTTTTCTAATAGGGATCCAAAGACATGTTTGTTCTTTGCTCCCAATGCATGCAGCTAATTTGTGGTTTCTCTGCAACTGAATGCATTTTGGATTTCATCAGTGAAAACTATGATGTATTAAAGTGTATAATAATTAGCAGAGACTTTACGTTAAAAAATATGATTGTTAGAAAAGCAAACTCTTTGCAGTGGTGAGGATAATTGTATATTCTGTAGATCGGGGGAAACACTACCTCTGTACCCAAACACTTACCTGCTAGCAAGAGAAATGTTGAATAAGAGTGAAGTTAAAGTGAAGGAAAAGACTCCCATGCTGTTTCTCATGGCTCTTTCATGGTAAAAAGAATGTATTTGTAAATACTGGACTTAGGTCATAGACATAACAGTAATCATTTAAAAGAGCATCCATTTCCCTGGAAAAGAGTGTAAGTTTCAAAAGCAATAATGTATAAAGGAATTTGAGTGTCACTAATGCTTGAATCAAATAGACTACTGAAATATCAAAGAGTGTCCATGAAGTAGTAGTGGAAAATCAAGAACAACAAGAAGAATTTAATTATCTTGTATTTGTACAGCTTTGTAGTATATTTGATGCTGAATAAAGTATGAATAAAGATACAGTCACTCTTAATGCAACTTAAGTAGGCATAATAACCCTCTGGGAAACAATAAAGCAATTATGAGCTTAAAAGAAACCACAATGACATGAGATTCCAAGAACCTATTAGCATTCAATCCATAGATACAATTTTTTTCAGTCCCATGGGGAGACATAATAGTTAGCATTCTATTATGGATTAGATGTTGATACCAAGAGACTGTATGGGTTTACTGATTCACTCACCAGAGTTTCCTTGTGTTTTAAAATTTTTGTAGGACCCTTTGTTGTTATTTGTTTTAATAAACTCTCTGAATACTTTCATAAAATAAATACCAGTGACATGAGAATGTTGAGTTTGTCACTGAGATTTTCAATGTGTGTGTACATGGGCTTATTTGTCTAGGTTAACAGATGTTTCTGCATTTCCTTGATAATCTGAACTCATTTTTATTATTTTGGCTTGTATTTAAGGTGGCAAATCTTGCTTGTTCCATGTCAACAAATGAAGATGGGATTAAAATTGTCAAAATTGCAGCCAATCACTTGGAAACCTTGTGTCCACAGGTATGATAACTAACTTACTGTCTCTTCTACAAAACTAGCTATAAAAATTATATATAATGTTTGAGACTTTTATACACATGGAAAGATATTGAAATGTTTATTTTAAACATTGAAGATGATGCGTCCTATCGTCACGGTTTATTATTTACTAAGCACCTAATTCTTTACTTAGCACCTGGTTCTTGTAACATTCCCTAAGGGTCCATATCAAAATCTTGTGAGAGAAAGGTATAGTTTGAAATCAAAGCAATGCTTTGTGTCCAACCGACTTGATTTATTTTTAGTCACTATTTATTTTGAAATCTCAGGTAAAATTGAAAATAATGGACTTTTTTGTTTAAGGCATGGGTTTGAAAAAAATCAAGTAATGATTTTTGTCTGTAATTCAGGAGGTTTTCTTTTCTCTTTTCTTTTTTTTCTTTTTTTTAATTTGAAGAGCAACACATTTTTAGGGACTATTTTCTAGATGACTAGTAGTCTTGAAGCCATGAATCAGAATGCACATAAGGGCACTCCTAATCACCTTTTCTTAGAATAAGCAAGAAATAATTACTTCCTAATAAAGACCACAAATGCCGTAAGGATGTGAAGTGTGACAATGTTAGAGACTTCAAGTCTTTGGACATCTGCCGAGATTCTCATTTTATGAAAAGTAGGGTATGTGTTAAATTCTTGATTTTCTTTGCTGACAATTTCATTACTAAGAATACTGAGGAAGTAGTAAGTGAGACTGTTTCTTTGGACTTGATGTTAATTAACAAGTAAGAGCTGGCTAGAGAAGTAGCCTGGGAGATCTACTACTGAGATCTCACAACTGATGTCAGTGCTCCATGAGATCCTACAGGGAGCAGAATACTACAGTGAGGCCTCTAAAGTGGTTGAATCACTTATAACCCCTTCAACAGAAATGTTCTCATTGTGAATAGCACTTGATGCTGTCATTTTTAAAAATGTCTTTTTGAATCTGAACAGTATTAAATGTCTTTGGCGTTACTTTATAATTTTCTGATTAAAATAACTTTTTTTTCCCCCAAATGTTTACTAACCATTTGCTTTCTAATTTTGTGAATTGCCTAAACTCTGCAAATTTTTGGTCGGGTTTTCTTTCTTTCTTTCTTTCTTTCTTTCTTTCTTTCTTTCTTTCTTTCTTTCTTTCTTTCTTTCTTTCTCTCTCTTTTTCATGTATTGTTTGGGTTTGTTAAAAATATCCTCTGTTGTCTATGTTTTTCTTTTAACTTTTAATATTTTATCATAGAGGATTTTAAGAGCTTTAAATATTTGATCCATCTTTTAATTTTTTCAATAGATATTTATTGAGCAACTACCCTGTGCCACATATCTGTTGGTTTGTGCCTTGTTAAGGAATTCTTCCAACAAAAATGTTATATAATTCCCACATTTTCTTTTAAAAAGGTTGAAACATTTAGATCTTTATTTCATCTGAAGTTTGTTTTTGTGTCTAACACATGATAGAGATCTATGAGGGGTGCCAAAAAAAATGTACAAAAATGGACACTTTGGTCAACCTTGCCCAAGATTGCTAAAATCAGAAGGGTCTGAACACTGATGGTAACCACTTTGAGCACCTGTTGTAATTGCAGAAGTCAAATGTGACTTGTATTCATCTTTTGTTATTGGTATATATTGAATATTACAATTTTAATACAGTTTTATTTTCTTAAAATGTGTATACATTTTTTGGCACCCTAGATATATTTGTATACACATAAATGTATATACTTACACACATATAATGTATGCCTACATATACATATTTTATATAATACATTATGCATATATAATACATACATGTAATATGTGTGTGATATTTTACTACTTTTCTATATGTAAATATAGATTGATAGATAAATTGAAATATACTTTAAATATATGTAGTTCTGGGCTCTCTATTCTGTTCCACTGGCCTATATCTTTACCCCTGCTACAGTATTACAATTTCAATTATAGTTTTATACTGAATATTAATATCTTCTAGGAACATTGGCTCACTTTGTTTTTTTCTTTAAATTATTGCTGTTCTTATTTTGCTCTATCATAGAACCTTTAGTATCAACTTGTCAAGTGCCATGAAAATCCATGTTAGGATGTTTATTGAAAAATTTTAAATGTTTTCATTTTAGATTATTTGGGGGGAATAATTACTTCTTGATGATATTGATTTTTTTCATTAATAAACATGATTCATGGGTGTCTATTATCAGATCTCTGTTTTATGTCCTTCAGGAATTTCTTAATTTTTTTTATATTAAAATGAATTGCACGGCTACACGCTGATGGCTTCTAATTTTTTCTCTCCAGGCTAGACCTCTTACCTAATGCTCAGACTTAAATATCTAGTTTTCCCTTTGACATTTCCACTCTGATATCCAGGAGACACCTAAAACTTAACACAGTCAACATGGAACTCCTAGTTGCGCCGTTCCCGGCTTATTCTGCTTAGTCTTCAGTCTTACCAATTTTCCTTAATGATATGGCCATTCATCTAGTTACTCTGGGGGAAAGAAAAACAAAACTGGAGGTTTTCCTTTATTCATTCAGTAAATGTTTATTGAACATATAGTAAATGGTAAGCACTATTTATGCATCTGGGGAAAATAGTAAAGAAAACAAACAAAAATCCTTGCCATTGTGAAACTCATATTCTAATATCTACTGGCTGTTTTTCCTATATAATCCATTAACAAGTCCTATCATTTCCACCAAAAAAATATTTATCTTGACTCTGTATACTTTCTCCATCTTGTCTGTCAACATCTTAGCCAATGCCATTATCACCTCCATCGGGGACTACAGAAATGCCAACTTATATGGTGTCCATGTTTATACTCATAGCTCTCTAATATACTTTATATATAAAAGCCAACATAAAAGTGTAAAGATGTTTATTAGCAGTTGCTTTCCTTAGCTTTTTATAGTAAAATGCAAAACAAATTTTATGGCTTCGTCAGATTTATATGAGCTTTCTACTGCCTAACCTCCAGCCACACCCCATAGTAATTTCCTTTCCAGTCATTAGGTCTTTCTGTTTCTAGAACACAATAAGCTCCTTCTCACTGGAAGGAGTTTGCACTTAATGATTGATTTTCCAGAGCTCTTCTCCCATATGGTCATATAGACAGCTCCTGTGATGTCTAATTTCTATGGACTGAGTGCAAATATCATCTTCTCAGAGATCAATTTCCTTAAATCACTTCTGCACTTATATCCTATTTTGTCACCATATTTATGTCTTTTAGAGTCACAACCTGAAATTATATTTTATATTATTTTGTTATTTTATTGTATATTTTCACACTCAAACATAAAGTTCATGAAAGAAGTAATTTAGTCGTCCTTATTTACTACTTATATCCACTGACATAGCAGAAATGCAGCATATATTGGATGTTCAGTAAATTGTTATCCAGTATATAAATAAATGACAGGATTTTAGAATGTTAAATCATTCTGGTTTTATAGAGGGCAGCAAGGCTTTTGGCAACACCTTTATACTTTTTCTAACATGGTGTGTCTTCTTTTTGACAATGTAAAATGCATGCAGTATAATGAGTTTGAATTGTAAATGATGGAAAAAAGATCCTTAAAATGGCTCCTTGGTGTGTAGTTGGTAACCAGGGGTGAGGCGTGTACTAGTGGGCTGCAGTGAACTGCTCTTGACCTAGCTCATTTCAGCATTTTACTAGTGATTTGGTTAAATTTATAAAATAATGTTCTTAAAATATTTAGTTAAAAATAATAGGTCAATATATTGCCTGAAATCATCCAGTTATAAAGAATTTGGCTATTCTAGAATAGGGACTACATCTCAGTACCCAGATGAAATATAATAGGTACCAGTAATAAACCATACATACTGAGTACTCTAAAGCAAATTACAAAGCTAGAAAGTGGAAGAAACATGGTTTGGCAAAAGCTTACCCTCCAAAAGGCTTAGAGATTTTAGTTGATAGTAATCTCAATGTGAATCAACAGTATGTTATAGCTGTCAGAAAAACCAATATAATTTAACATTTATTTTTTCATCAAAGGATAAATTCTAAAACTCATATTCTACCTTCTCTACACTTAAAAATTATTTTATAAACTGTAAAAATTTTATACAATGCATCCTGGACTTCAGAATTAGTATGACCGCAGTACACCCTGATTGTGTGTGCGTGTGTGTGTGTGTGTGTGTGTGTGTGTGCACATGTGCACATGTGTGTTAGTTCCACTTTTGCAATATGCACTGAAATAAAATCTGTACATATATTTAGGTCTACTAATTGCACTTCCAACATTTATGGTACAGATAAACAGGTGCACACACACACCAGACTATAAGCAAAGCTTTTATGCAGATTTGCTTTAAATGTGTGTTGGTAGTAAGTCAGCTCATTGTATGTTTTGGGATTGAAGATGCCAAAGATAAGTGAAAAAAACAAATTTCAGATGAATATGTGTATTATCTCATTTATTTTGGGAAAAAAAAAGACATAGAGCCACATGTTTATGTAGTCATAGAAATGTTTCAAAAGGTCTTCATGAAACTTTTAGTAGTGGTTACTTTCAGGAAATGAGACTGAGGACACAGAACAAAAAGGAGTACTTTTACATTCCATTTTATTTCTTTCAGGACTCTTAATTTAACCAGAAATATATACTTCATTAATACCTAAACAAAACCCAGCCAATTAAAAAAAAAATTCCTAAGTTGATTCTGGAGTGAATGAGGTTGAGGAAACACAAGGTCAGGGGGAGCTGAGAAGGTGGCACTTAATTCCTATCTGTTAAATACAATTGAAATCACCTCCATTTCAGTGAATTGGATCATCCTGGTTCATACTGTGTTTAATGGATTATAACTATAGTGCTTTGCCCTGTTACAGATGTCACACTTCAAAATAAAATTGTCACTTGAAGCATATTTAGCAGAGAATATCTGAAATAGTGACATGACTTGAAACTATGTCATATGAAAAATATATAAAAGAAATACA